TAACACATGTACCTGTGTGAGTCCTCTGGTGCGCTTTTAGGTGTGAGCTCTTTGTATATACTTTACGGCACCCATTAAACTGACAACGATGAACCCTCTTCTTGTTTTCTGGGGATGTATCAGCCCCTGACCCTCCTTGTTCACTGTCACTGAGCGCACACTTTGTTGTGTTAGCTGGTGTTATTACACCAACCTTTACTGAGCTGAGGGTGGATTTCTTGGTCACTAATTTCAGTGTAACTGTGCCATCAACTGCAGAGATAGTTTGTGAGGTTTTTCCAAGATGGCGACCGAGTTCAGGAGAGGAAGGAGGTGTTAGTGAGGTCACTGCGTTGAGTTGGGCCTGGTTAACAGCAGCATAGCCCTCTGTAGAGGAGCTGGTAGGTTGCAGGCTGAGACAAGTCTCAGACAATAGTTTGTCCCTTGAGAGAATAATGTCCATGTTGGCATTTTTGTCACAGGTACTCATATCTACAGGTAATAAGAGTGGGTCCAATGGCTGAATGCTGTCTTCTGTGCTTTGAGCAGAAGAGGCATGAAGAAAACAGTCTAAGTCCTCCCCGAAGCTTTCTGAGTTCTTCCTGGGTTCTGTCTGAAGGTAGCGCTCCAGCTCAAGGCATGTCTGTAGAAACAAAAAGGAGAAAGAAGCCATCACTGGACAGTCAAACCTGGTTACAACCACTGCCAAGAAGAAAAGAATATCTGAATAAAACAAGCTGCCACAGTAAGAGATAATAGAAAAGCAAATCAAAGTAACCATAAGACAAAAGAGGAAGAATGTGACTGCAGCAAACATTTCAGAAATGAATTCTTCCGTACAATAAGAATACAATGGCTATTCAGCTCTGGTATGTAGAATCTGGAAATCCAGGTACAAATCTATTGTGCAAAAATACTCAAATTGCAAAAAGGAAGGCAGTTGAAAGCACAGGTTGCTAGTTGCCTAGCAACTATAAGAACAATCACTTGCAAACCAAGTGATTCACAAATATTACACAAGCACAACTTGACCAGTTCTGAAGAAATTCTCAACTCTATTTTGTTAACTACTTTGGGTATTCATACTAGACAGCAGTGTTATAAATGTTTCAAATGAATCAATAAATATAAACTGAGAAACAAATATATAATACATTTTCTACACTTTCTTTACAGATTAATTCAGACTACAACATGACCATGGCATTGATAAAATCTGTAAGTTCCTAGACCTCTAGGAATTAATTTTATGAGTGAGTCTATACATGCAAAACATGTCATGTAATTCCATGACCTTGTATCAGCCATTTAAATCCAAGGTAGCGTAAAATTTTACAATGGGATGTAGTTCATTCATTTCCTTTTCTCTTCCCAATGTGCCAAAGAACAGTATTGTGGATTTTCTCACACATACCATAGATCACCTATGCAACTACAGTATATCACTGAGAAATAGAGACTGCTTGTGATTCTTTCCGATGGATAGAATCAAGAGACAATAAAATGCAGTAATGTCTGAGCTGTTGGCTAGAGGACTGCAAATGTTAAGATTAGCCCAGACAAGCAGGAGATTTAACTATCCATTTACATAGATTAGTCTTTCACACATGTTTAGTCAAAGCCAAATTATATATAATAGAAAATTCAGCTGAATCATAGAATTTGTCATCTCCTAAACCTGCAGTGAATAAATAATAAGTATAATGTTATTGTTTTCTCCAAGCTTAAGTATACTTTCACGGAATTCTTCTTGCCACAATAGAAATACCAATCACTCTGTATCATCTTGATTTACGCTCCTTAAAAGAGAAACCGTGAGGCTCACACTATAAATACAAAGCCCACGAATCTTTGGCTGGCAAGATGGAAAAAAGATTTTCAAAGAACATTAAAACCAGCACAGGCCTTGTGAAGTCTCCAGATGATACAAGGCTGTGTTGGGTCAGCTAATATCCTGTGGAGAAGGCAGGAGGGAGCTGTCCCTGTAAGGCATTACTCCTTCTCTGATGACCACAGTGATCCTGACAGGCTTTAAGCCTTGTCATTAATTTTCCATAAAGAACCATTTCTGCAAGACCCCTTTTGGGCAAGGCCTGATGCTTTGAGAAACATGCAATTATTCTTGGATCCCACCCCCTGCAGTCTTTGCACCTGTGTCAGTTCAAGATACCAGCTGGTCAAGGCCTGCCTTCTGCCTCAGAAATAGAAAGGCACCTCATCAAACTCACCTCCTCTTAGAAGGGGAAAGGGAGGGGGAAAGTGGCCCCAATCATGAAGAAGTATAAGTAAGCAAGCAAGCTTCCAGTAGAAAAAAAAACTTACTCCTCTGCCCCCATCCCCCGCCCAATCCCAATCTAGCAAGATTTCAGTCTGAACAACAGGGGGTGATGATGTCTAGCTTGAACAAACCACAAATTGCTCCCACTAGCTTCTGGGCTACTGGCAGGATACAAAGAATCCTAAGGTGTTTTTTTTTAAATGAAATAATAAATTAAAAGTTACATATGTTTAAATACTTTATATGAGACACCAGAATGCTAATTAAGAGAGAACAAAATACCAATGTCTTTTTAATCTTATGATTTCAAAGTCCAAACTTTAATATTTTTCAGATTAGTAACAGAAATGTATTACTGGGTAATAAACACTCTTGGACATCCTTAGTATACAGGAATATATTGTAAGTAGGAAGCTGAATAAATCTGCCAAGTTCTTAAAAGTCATGTTAGTAATACCCAAATATACAATGTAATACACAATACCCAAATATACTATGCAATACAAATGTGATTATGTTTTTTTTTCCTGTACAACACTCTGAATTTTATATTTCCCCATCCTGTCAGAGAGGAATCCAGACAAAATATCTGTAATGCAGAAAAATAGAAACGTGCACTGAGATAGCTTAAATTGGCCATCTTTAGGATGATGAAGCAGGATTCTTTTCAAACTGATCATAACCAAAGTCTGTGAACAATTACCTTTGAAGACCATAGAAGATACTGGAACCTTCTGTGGATTACCCATTCTAGTCAATTGGGAGATAAAACAATTCTGAATTAGTTGAATCTAGCTACCTTCCATATCACTGAGCTGACTGGCACATTCTGAAATAATTCTCAGGCAAAATATAAATTGAAAATCAAAGAAACAAAACAACCAAAAAAGATGGTCATCCCAGTGAGCAGACATAAGAAAGCCTCATAAAGAGAGTCTACACTCAAAGATTAAGGGAAGAAGCAGGTCTTCAAGATTTATTTAAGAGAGTTGGGGCTATTCAAGTCTTAGGGAAATGGTTTTAGAGGACAGGTGCCATGACTGAAAAATCTATTTTCTGGGTCCCACCAGTTTAATTGATGAGACTCGGAGCGTGACCACTTTCTCAGAACTTAGGGAAGAACTACTGAAGATAGGCAGTTCTTCAGATAACAAGACCCTAGGACAAGGCCCCTAACTAGCACTTTGAATTCTACCTGGAAACCTACTGGTAACTAGGCAGTTCACAAAGCAGTCCATAACTGCTTGAGCCCCTGAATTATGGATCAGCTGACCATTTCTGAATGGTCTTCAAGGGCAGCCCCCAAATAGAGCACACATGTGGAGTAATCATATACAGTGGATCTTCCTCTTTGTGTTAAATCAGTGGTACGAAATATGATACAACTTTTATAAAATATTATCTAATCCTTTTTTATATGCAAGTTCCAATATGCCTACTCAAAATCTCAGCTAGTCAATGAGCAATGTTGCTCAATCTAATTACCACAGCTGATAGATCTAGTTGCTCGATTTGGGTTCCTTCAGATGGCCTACATTTTCTAACATCCTTCACTAGGCCAACTGAGGCTATTGGGAGTGGCAATTTAGCAATATCCGAGATGCAATGCCTAAATTATTCCTGTACTAAATTATGGAGTGTGATGGAAAGTTGCCTCTGTATCCGGTACAGAGATTAAAATGTTAATTATTACATTAGTTCATTCAAAGTGAATTGGCGGTTATCTGTTACTTTTTCCGTATAATCTCTACTGTCTTCAGTCTTACCTTTACTTGGTTTATAGCAACATCAAACATTATTAATATGCTTCTGTTTTTGAGAATTGGTTTTATGCAGTCAGATACTCAAGTTTAGTGGTTCAGTGCTTTAGACCCAACCTTATTAAATCAAAGCTGATTCTTAAAGAGTGGGGGGAGAGAAGTTCATACTAAATGCTATTGTATTCTCACAACAAAGGCACACAGCACAGCAGGAAGCAGACACACATACAAACCTAAGGAGAAGGAAAAGAAGTGCTGTTATTAATACGAAAGCCAGTACTGAACAAAAGATCCCTTAAGATAAATAATGCAGCACAGCTGCTACAGTATAAAGAGAAATTGATAAATGTTATTCACTGCCAGTCACTATTTGAAGAGATGGAGAAGATGGTCCAATAAAGAGAAACGATAATTGGGCTTCTTAATTTCCTAGCCAAAAAAAAAAAAGACCCTTAGCTATTCTGGAGTACGTATATTACAAATCTATCCAATTCATCTTCTCCATCAGGGATGCAGTATTGGAAGGATAATCTATTCCCACTCTCTGATGATGTAGGAAATCCACTCTTACTGTATTCAGTAGGTAAGCTATTCTACTTAAAAACAGGGAAATAAGGGAAAATCCACCACCTTCCAGGACATTGTATTCCTCTATTAAAAGAATGTGTACCATCAGAAAATTCTTGGTTCTAATTCTTTTTACTGTAATTTGAATCTTTCACCTGAGATGTTTCTTTTAGATAAAGAAACAAATTTATTTTCTACACAGAAGCCTTTCAAATATTTTAAAGTAGTGCTTATTTCATCTATTAATCATATCTCCTCCAAGCTTTTTCAAGAAAGTTCTTCTAAAGCTTTCTTGATTATATTAAGAGCATCAGGCTTTCACATCTTTGTAACTCTCCCCTAGATGAATATGTTGTATTATGCTAGAACTAGACACAATACTCCAGCTGAACAAATACCTACAACTGAGTAGTACAACAGCTCCCTAACACTATACTATTTGATGTAGCCTTGGATACTTTAGTTTTTTTAGCTGCTGGATCACCCATTAATTCATATTTAGTTCTTAAAACCTCTGGGTCAGATTTGTATATACAGCTGTCAAGTCACCTTGCATTTGCACATTGATTTTTCCTAGATCAATCTAGATCTGCCTTATCTCTGTAAAATTTGTTTTGCAAATTTTGCCCAATTCTTGGTATCAAGATAATCTTGAATCTCAGTTTTTTTTACCCTCTTTTCAGTTTGATTCACCAGGATGTTTAATGACAATTCTCTCTATCCCTACAATACTAAACCCAGGGCTCCTGTTCTACTCAGAATGGTAAAAGTTGACCCTTTAGCATTCTTTCAGTAACCACTAACCACTTTAACAGTTTCTCAGTATGTTTATGTTTATGTTTATTATATTTATATCCCGCCCTTCTCCTTGCGGACTCAGGGTGGCTAACAGCCAGATAAAACAACTACAAAAATACAAAATGCTACAATTAAAAACATAATTAAAAGACAATATTAACATTTGGCCAAGTTAATTTAAAATTATTTTAAAACCCCGCTAAAAATTTCCCCTAGGCCAGTATGCCAGCAAGAACCTTT